GAACTCCTTGAATACCCGGTTCATTAAATCCATGGAAGTCACAGGGGCGTTAGTCCAAACGGCATAATCGTGGATTCATAATGTCCATACCTCTCGTCTTGAATGTCGTCTTTGGGATATCCTCCTTTTGGATTCTTAACTGGTGATAGCTAGTCCTCAAATCGATCTTTGATAATATCGACGCCCCCTGCAACTGATCAAATAGGTCATCTATCCTTAGCAAAGGGTACCTATTCTTAATGGTCACCTGATTCAACTGACGGTAATCGATACACAGCCTCAACGATCCATCCTTCTTCCTGACGAACAGGACTGGCGCTCCCCATGGAGACGCACTCGGTTGGATAAAACCTTTGTCTAGCAATTCTTGCATCCGTACCTTAAGTTCTTTCAACTCTGACAATGACATCCTATAAGGCGGCTTCGAGATTGGCTCAGTCCCCAGGGTTAATTCAACCACAAACTCTACTTCCCTTCCAAGTGGCAATCCCGGCAATTCCTAAGGAAAGACATCGGGAAGATTACACACCTCGTTTATGTCCTTTAGCCTTAGTTCCTCAACCGACTAGTTAGCCACCAATCATTATCTTTCTATACCTCAAAGACCAAGCTCAATCCATCCAATTTTAATCCAACAGTCTCCCAAAACGAATCACATCGGTCCTTTACAAAATCTGAAATTTCTAAATACACTCATCCTTCCAAACCCGCCCAAGAATATCATCAGTAATCCATGGATCCTTAAACCGATTGTGCATATTCACCATAAAATTAATTATAAGTCTTTCATGACCACTCAAGCGATAACTTCAAATTCATCTCCTTTGCACCCAATATCGCCTCGTAATGCATACCGACTTTCACGACGCATGCTTCGCTTCCTTCTCAGCCAAAACATATACTTTTCCTTAAGTCCTTAGCTGATTCTGGTTAATCTTCACGGCAGCTCTCGCTTAATATCCTACCTGTGATAGCTGCGATTGCATCAGTGGACTAATTTATCGGTTCAACAATTTCTCACTCGGTGACCTTGCTGTCCACCTCCACAACACGCTTCACTTGTACCTTGGCAATGGCTATTTCTATGCCTTTTTCCACAAGACCTACATACGGCATCGGAGTAGTAGTTTGGCTCTTCAAAGTTCTCCCTTACCGGAGGGACAAGTCTCATGTTCTCTGTCATAGACCTTTTTCCCATGTTCCTATTGTCCCTAACCGGCGCATATCGCGGTCCCGAAGTGGCAGCCATTTCACTCATATCCACTTCACCCATCGAGCCCTCTCACACAGCTCATTGTAATCCCTTAAGACTCAAGAGTACTAACTGGTTGCAAAGTTCCGATTTCAATCCATCCCAGAACCTCTGCGTCCTATCCACATGGTCCTTGACCATCCTTAGTGCGTACTTAGATAGCCTTACAAACTTGACCTCGTCCTGATCGACTGACATCCGATTGCGAAGCAGGAGAAACTCTCTTTTGTCTGCTCTTGCACTCTCCGAAAATTACTCCCCATTGAAGTCCCCTACCAAAGTATCTCCCAATACCGCAAAGCCTCTTCCAACTCTTATATGTAAAGTGATGTAGTCTCGGGGTCACTTTTTCCATCAAAATGCGGAGGTTTTAATTTCGAAAGTTGCTCAACTAGCTATTGCATCTGTCTGACTGCATTAACTTACTCTTAACCTTGGTTCCCATCATTCCCATTTAAAATTCCAACTTCTTCGAGTGCCCTCATAATTCCATCTACCCTGGGATCATCTACAATTCCAGCTTGCGGACCTATACGACCTCGACCTCGACCTCGACTACTCAAATTCACAAAGTCACACCACTCACTTACCTGTTATAATCCCATTCAGGAATTAAAGACCTAAACCAAGCTAAACCGGTCTAAGATCCTAGGCAGGTATACATAACAGCAGTCAAGCAACCAGCATGCAATTTTACACAATAGCACAACATCTCAACCAAAGAGATTCGCGTACTTACCTCGGGTCCTGCCGCACCTGCACTTTACGGTCAATTCGACAACCAGTCAATCACTACACAAACAGTCAGGAGGTACACGTAGCATGCAAGGTCTCCCTACTGGCTACCCAAGGTCATTGCTCCTTATCACTCCAAGCTTCGACCTACATGGATCGAGCTGACCTTGCTCTGATACCAAATCAAACAGGGATGTCACGCCCCGAATCCTACGACGTGCGAACATCCCTCCAAGGTCCATTACAAGTGCGACGTCCCAGGACACGTCGCCGACCCAACGCCCAACACAGAGATTAAAGCACACACGGAAGCAATACAATACCCGAACAGTTTTGAAACAAATGGCCAAGGATAGCCACTCAGCAAACAACATGAACAATTACACTTGCGTTGATACTGGGCACCAGACACAATATTCAACTACAGCCCATGCTCAAAAATCAAAAGCAGTTCAAGGCCACTACAACTAGCCGGGGCTCCTCCCAAAACACTTCGGTACGCCTGCCATCCTCAAGGCTGGGGTCTGAAAATGTGGTTTAAACAACAATGAGAATAATCTCAGTGAGTAATTCCCTAAACCTAAACTAGGCTAACGTGCACCTCCAGAGGGTAAATAAAACACATAAATCACTGAACCAGTATAATAATCAATATTAGTTCACTCGGGCCTATAGCCCAATTCACTACTCCGCCATGCAGGTTAGACTTTTAATATCATTATAAAACATATGCGAGTAAATCGACCCGAAGGCCACAGTTTGTCCCGACCCGAAGGCCCGACCCGAAGGCCACAGTTTATCCCGACCCGAAGGCCCGACCCGAAGGCCACAGTTTATTCCGACCCGAAGGCCCGACCCGAAGGCCACAGTTTATTCCGACCCGAAGGCCCGACCCGAAGGCCACAGTTTATCCCGACCCGAAGGCCCGACCCGAAGGCCACAGTTTATCCCGACCCGAAGGCCACAGTTTATCAACTGGCCCGTCATGTATACCAATGCACTCAGTTTCGGCTAATGGCAAGGCATGATATGCGATTCATATGCCCGAGAATCCAAAGTCAATTTCCCAGGCCAAGATGCCAGACACAATTATTCACAAATTTGACAATTTCAAGGCATTAACGGCATGTTCAATCTACTCCATTTTTGCCCCAAATAAACCGGCACTTATTCCCCACACTTACTCCAATTCAATTCAATAAGCCCAAGGCCCGCCAAGCTATTCCATTCTTAGTCCCGCTAGACATGCGACATGGCATCATACAATCACATTCAAGTCACGTTTAATTTAGCATCCTCTCGGGTGATCATCGTTTCCTAAGCCGTTCACCCTAAAATCTCAAATAAACAATTATGGCCCGAATCCTTCCGATACTAAACCAGCCATGAACGGTCCGTCTTAAGCGCTCAATTCACTTTCAATTCATCACATTAGGCTCCCCAATTTGCTACGAAAAACAACTACTACTCGGCCTACACAAACTAACCCCCAAATTGATCGCGCCTTGTCCGATTCAAACCCGATATGGACAGCCACTAAATCGATCGTGCCGGGCCATTTAATAACCTCAAAATGTCCCATTAGACTCTCCAAGATACCATTTTAATCAACCACCATAATGCCAATTAAGGCGCGCACTAGAATCCGCATTCTAGACTCGAACTTCCCCAAACTTGGGCTATTCCATTCCAAACCTGACCAGCCATCTCTCGGCACTTACATAGCCGCGAAACCTCATCAAACGGTCACTATAATTCACCAAATCAGCCGTGACATCAACCCCTACCATCCTTTGCACAATAACCCCTAAATTACCCTAATTTAACCCCTAAACTCGTCTAGAAATGCAAATAATCCTAATTAGGGTTTAGGGTCAAACTCACCGGGTGTCCTAAGCTTCAAACCGAGCCGAACACGCGGCAATGGCGGCTCCTCCGGTGAGGTGCTCCCACGGCCAAACAAGAGAAAGAGAGGGAGTGATGGTCTGTGGGTGGCAAGGGCTGCCGCCGAGGAGAGGGACGGCGGCCCACGGTCGGCGCGACGCATGGTCGAGCTGGCCGGCGACGGCGCGGCACGCGGCGGCCAGCCGAGGCGAAGGGCGGCGGCGACGGCTTGCTGCCGCGCGCGCGTGAGGAGAGAAAGGGAACGGCCGGGGCGGCGGCGGGCGGTGGTCAACGCGACGGCGGCCGGGCTTGCTTGGCGGCGGCGACCGGGCGGAGTGGCCGTCGGGCGGAGGCGGAGGGCGGCCGAGCAGCGGACGGCGACTGGGCAGAACGGAGCAGAACCAGTCGCGGGCGAAGAAGGAGGAAGAAGAAGAAGAACAGAGGAAGAAAGGAAAAAGAAAGAAAGAAAAGAAAAGAAGAGAGAGAGAGAGAGTAGGTGGGGGTGGGTGTTAAGGGGACGTCTGCAGAGAGGGGGGGGAAGACGCGCGCGGGGTCAGAGGGAGGGAGAGAGAGAGAGAGGAAATAAAAGAAAATATTTGAACATTCAAATATTATTTGCAATCCGATGGCTCAAATTAAAAACCGAAAATGGTCTACCGGTCCAAAATAAGCCTCGCACATAAAAAGGGACAAAGGCCAAATTAATTAGACCAAATTATAACGGGGGAGGTCTACTAGTCCAAATTCGCACGTGGTCAAAAACTCCCCTTTTTCCATCATTCCTGACAATCTCAACATTGGTTACCATAATATTGACATCGTCCAATTTATTTGTCCCGAAACTCCCGGAAATCGACTGCCAAGTTCGGGATCCAAATAACGGCCAAATTTGATCGAGTGCGATTCTAGCGAAATCTCTAATTTAAAATGATAACCGGGAGTGATCAGTTCCCGGGCGAGATTTTACTATAAGCACACTGACAATTTACGCGTTTTATAAATCCCAAAAATGGGCCGAAATTCGGGATGTCACACTCGAGAGGTTTGCTAGATGGCGCTCCGTCACGACTCCTTCCCACAAGTTCTCAGAGAGATCCACCGCAACCAGTGTCGACAGTTGCCCGAAACTTTATGGAATCCCACTCATCCTATTGATGGCCACCGAAAACTCTTTCAAAGAAGACAAGTTTCCAATCATCCGTGGAATAGAACCTTGAAATGAATTCTGCCAAAATTGGAGGTACCTTAACCTCTTTAGTTTTCCTAGAGAATCTGGCAAATTACCAGACAACCGATTGTTCCCCAAGTTCAGATTTTCCAACTTGCTATCGTTGCATCGAGCTAACCCGTCAATAAAATCAGTTATCTCACCGGTAATTCTATTGACAGAAAGCTTTAGGACACTCAAATCACATAAGCTCCCTAAGGATTTCGGAAGCCGACCTTTGAGGTACGAATTTTGGGACATGTCGAGTTCTTGGAGGGATGCTAAATTCATAAATTCATCTGGAAGCTCGCCCCCGAGACCATTTGAGTTTAGATCAAGATGAACGAGGCGAGTGAGATTGAACAGCCATCGGGGTGACGCAGAGTTGAAGTTATTGTTCGAGAGATCGAGGACCTCAAGCGATGTGACATTGATGAATGGAAGAGAAAAAGGAAGCTTTGCCAGGAAACAGTTGGGCAAGCGCAACTCCGTGAGAGAAGGTAGCGAATTGATTTCTCGAAGCCAATGATCTGCGGCTTTACTGAGATCGGTGGCTCTGAGATTAAGGTATATAAGGGAAGAAAGGCCAGGAAGCCAAAGAAGATCGTTTTGGCTCGATTCGGCAAAACAATTGCTGAGGTCCAGATATTGCAGTCGTGAAAGATTTCCTAGACTCAGAGGGATCGTTCCGCCGAAAGACGTGTCCGACAGATTGAGGTATCTCAGCTGCTTTAGCGAACCGATGAATCCCGGGAGTTCGGTGCCTCCAAAATTGTTCATGCTCAAATCCAAGTAGTTCAACTCTTTGACATCGAGCAGAGAAGGACTGATCTCACCCCCCAGCGCTTGTCCTGGCTTGAGATCGCCGCTTAGAGTATCATCCACATACGGGTTGTGGAGATTAATCTCAACGACTCGCCCAGTCAGATTGCTGCATACAATTCCTCTCCATTTGCAGCAATCTTTCTCAACCCATGAAGCGAGCCGGCCAGAAGGATCCGTGAAGCCACCTTTCAACTTGGCAAGTGCTTCTCTTTCACTTTCAAAGCAACCTGAAGTGATTGCCCCAGTGGAAAGTGCAAATTTTACAGTTTCAGGAAATAAAGTAGCGAATGATAACCATTCTGTTCCGGAATGAGTTCCTGAAACAGAAATAAATTTTTCTATTTCTGGTTAATCTATTTCTATTTCTGGTTCCAGAATGAGTTTCTGAGAAAAGAAACCCGTTTGATAACAACAAAAAATTTCTATTTCTGGAACAGAAACCCGTTTGATAAAAGCACAAAATTTCTATTTCCTGAAACAAAAACTCGTTTGATAAACAACACAAAATTCTATTTCCAAGAAAAAAAATCCATTTTTTAAAAAAAATGGAATAAAAATCATTAGAAAATCCAAAAAATTCCTAAAAATCTCAAAAAAATTCAAAAAATCCAAAAAAATTGAAAAATTCTAGAAAAATTCATCATAATTTCCAAAAAATAAAAAAAATTCAGATTTTTCTAGAAAATAGGAAATTTGTTGAATTTTTTCAAAAAAAATCAAAAAATCAAAATTTTCAAAACTTCATAGAATGACTTGAAATACCTGTGACCACCCACTTTTAGTGAAACTTAAATTTTTTTAAGTGCCCAAAAAAAATCAAAAATCAAAAATTCCAAAAATTTTAAAAATTCACAGAATAGTTTAGAATACATGTGGCCACCCAGTTTGAGTGAAATTTAAATTTTTTAAGGTGCCTAAAAAAATTCAAAAACTCAAAAATTTCAAAATTTCACAGAATAGCTTAAAATACCTGTGGCCACCCACTTTGAGTGAAATTTTAATTTTTTGAGGTGAAAAAAAGCAAAAAATCAAAAATTTCAAAACTTCATAGAATGACTTAGAATATATGTGGCCACCCACTTTGAGTGAAATTTAAATATTTTTAGGTGTCGAAAAAAAAATAAAAACATAAAAAAATCAAAAATTTTAAAACTTCACAGAATGACTTAGAATGCCTCTAGCCACCCACTTTGAGTGCAATTTAATTTTTTTAGGTGCCCAAATGGTATTTTTGAATTTTAAATTTTTTTCGGCTCCTAAAAAAAATTAAATTTCACTCAAAGTGGATGGCCACATGTATTCAAAGCCATTCTGTGAAGTTTTGAAATTTTTGATTTTTTTTCTTTTTTTCGGCACCTAAAAAAAAAATAAAATTTCATTCAAAGTTGGTGGCCACAGTATTCTAAGCCATTCGTGAAGTTTTGAAATTTTTGCTTTTTGCTTATTTTTATTTTTTTCGCACCTAAAAAAATTAAATTTTTTCAAAGTGGGTGGCCATAGGTATTCTAAGCAATTCTGTGAATTTTTGAATTTTTTTATTTTTTTATTTTTTTCGGCAACTAAAAAAATTAAAATTTCGCTCAAAGTAGGTGGCCACAGGTATTCTAAGCCATTATGTGAAGTTTTAAAATTTTTAATTTTTTTCTTTTTTTTTTATTTTTTTAGGCACTTAAAAAAATAAAATTTCGCTCAAAGTGGGTGGCTACATGTATTTTAAGCCATTCTGTGAAGTTTTGAAATTTTTTCTTTTTTGCATATTTTTATTTTTTTGGCATCTAAAAAAAATTAAATTTCACTCAAGGTGGGTGGCCACAGGTATTCTAAGCCATTCTGTAAAGTTTTGAAATTTTTTATTTTTTTATTTTTTTTCGACACATAAAAAAATTTAAATTTCGCTCAAAGTGGATGGCCACAGGTATTCTAAGCCATTCTGTGAAATTTTGAAATTTTTTATTTTTTGCTTTTTTTAATTTTTTTCGGCATCTAAAAAAAATTAAATTTCGCTCAAATTGGGTGGCCACGTGTATTCTAAGACATTCTGTGAAGTTTTTAAATTTTAGATTTTTTGATTATTTTTTATTTTTTTGGCATCTAAAAAAAATTAAATTTCGCTCAAAGTGGGTGGCCATAGGTATTCTAAGCCATTTTGTGAAATTTTGAATTTTTGACTTTTTTTTATTTTTTTCAGCACCTAAAAAAATTTAAATTTCGCTCAAAATGGGGTAGCCACATATTTTAAACCATTATGTGAAGTTTTGAAATTTTTGATTTTTGGCTTTTTTTTCCCACCTCAAAAATCGTAACTTCCAGATGAGCATGTGTTTTAAAGAAAGAGTTCTCTCAGAAATGATTCTCATTTTTTGTCTAGAAATAGAAAACCAACTTTTTTTTTGTTCTGATTTCTGGTTCAGAATCGGTTCTGGAACAAAAACTTGTCCCAGAAATAGAAAAATGAAATTGCGTTAACAAACGGGTTTCTGGTCCAAAACTGATTCTGGAAATAAAAAATCAGTTCTGGACAGAACCAGAATGGTTATCATGCGGTACCTAAAAGTCCTGATAGGAACAGGAGAGGAAGAAGTTCAATGGGGGAGATCTTATGAGCCATTCTTGCAGGCAAAACAAGAATAGACGAAAGGAGGGTAGTATCAGAAGTTCAGACTAGCTTGTTTAGACATATATAGTGGACTAGTGCCCGCCTATAATGCAAAGTAGGCAGCGTCCATTGTTAGTCTGACTTGACTTTGACTTCGAGTTGATGTCATCAAAATATAACGTCGAACCAGTTGAGCGTCATCGACCATGTCATCTAAACTGTTCTTGTTTTCCCCTTGTCTGGAACGTATTTAAAACTTGTAGACTTGTGTCACGGGCCGACGGTTCCTTGGCCGCGGAATAGCCCGTGAGGCGCCTGGCGCGCGGAACGCACCAGGCCAACCATCGTTCATTAGCTGTTCCCAAGAGCAACACGGCGAATGTCTTCTTCGTATCGAGTCATACCACGCCCAGCTTGGCTCGGGCGTCTAGTCCATCGAGCGGGACACACAGAATACTTTCGGTACGACAACTGGTTTCGGCCTGCCATGGCCTCATTAGGAGAGCGGCATCAGCTCCCGACCAGTTTGTGCACGGGAGGCCAAACCCGCCTTCAGAGCTCCTACGATATATTCGTTCCATCCTAGAACTCCTAGCACCAACCGTCTTGATGCCACTCCCACGACCCAGTTGTACTTCATCCCTTCTGCGTCCTTACTCTTCACCCGATAACCCCGAGCATCACTAACAAGGGTACAAGAGTACGAGAGAATCACGGTCCGTGACATTCTCCCCCACTCAATTCCACAACGTCCTCGTTGCGGGCTGTTCTGTCGCTTCCCTGCGTCAATTCTCACCATCAATGCCGCTGTGGGGGCTTACACGAGTGGTGTCACCATCAATGCCGCTGTGGGGACTTACACGAGTGGTGGACGCTCGCCCAACAAAACAACTTTTCTCCACTGGTGGCTTCGGCAGACCAACGGAGGTTTTTCCCCCTTGTTGATAACGTGATAATAGACTCATCTTCAGACTCGCCAAATTGATCCAGGAACGTTTTTCCCTATTCAGTGAGGAATCAGTTCTTTTCCCGTGCCCCTGTTCATCCTAGGAGCAAGTCGAGAGCCGCACTTTGTCCGAGCTTTTGCTCCGGCGATTCACTCTCCGCCCACGTAGGACCGGGTAGTCCACAGGTTTTCTGCGACTCACTCACTTACTGGAGGGATCCTGCTCTGATACCACTTGTCACGGGCCGACGGTTCCTTGGCCGCGGAATAGCCCGTGAGGCGCCTGGCGCGCGGAACGCACCAGGCCAACCATCGTTCATTAGCTGTTCCCAAGAGCAACACGGCGAATGTCTTCTTCGTATCGAGTCATACCACGCCCAGCTTGGCTCGGGCGTCTAGTCCATCGAGCGGGACACACAGAATACTTTCGGTACGACAACTGGTTTCGGCCTGCCATGGCCTCATTAGGAGAGCGGCATCAGCTCCCGACCAGTTTGTGCACGGGAGGCCAAACCCGCCTTCAGAGCTCCTACGATATATTCGTTCCATCCTAGAACTCCTAGCACCAACCGTCTTGATGCCACTCCCACGACCCAGTTGTACTTCATCCCTTCTGCGTCCTTACTCTTCACCCGATAACCCCGAGCATCACTAACAAGGGTACAAGAGTACGAGAGAATCACGGTCCGTGACACTTGGATGACAACTTCTGGTCTATGGTTTTTATGACACAGAAGCGCCATCCGGACGGTCAGAAGATTATATGTTCCTTGCCCATGTTCTTGAAAGTTGTCAGAATTCGATAGTTCACCACGAGGTCCATCGAATTAAGTTGATCACACCGGGGACTCGAATGAATCTAAGTTGATCACACCATGGACTTGGACCGCATGAATCGAGTCTATGTAATGACATTTTTACCCCTGCACAGCTAATGTCATACGGGAGGCAGTTGTCCAGGTGACATGAATCACGTACTCTACATCTACCGCGCAGATGCACCCACGTTTACGCGTATCCGGGATTTGCTTGCTCGGTCGCCCTAGATTAACTCACCGGAAGCCTTCCAAGGGCCACTTCGGTTTATTCCTACTCTTTCGCCATCCTATAAGCCTGTCATTAGCCGCTCTTTATCTAGACCCGTTGGTCCCGCCGACCACTCTCTGTTCTCGTCGGACCGGGTCGTTACACCATTGTTCCTTAGTTTAGGGAATAGGAGCGTGAAGAGTCCACAAGTGACGGAGATTGCATCTAGAGGACAGCGTTGGACAAGGCAATGATGGTGGTCAACACACGCCAAGGGCTCTTTGAAGGGATTGACTTGAGATTTATCTACGTATTCTCTGAGACATTTCACAATGGGCATTTTCTATCTCCAGCTCAGGCGGCAAGAGCTCAATCAAAGAACAGAGAGAATTTGGTGGGGGAAGTTTTGGTTTTTGTTTGGATCTAATGGAGAACGAGACGTTCCTCGAAATCGCAATGAAGGGAAAGACTTACTCAAAACGACGTATTCAGCAGATGTGGCTTCTTGACCAAAAGCTGACCACACGGTTTGACTACGAAGACTCCTGCATCCATATTACAATGGCTTGACGCCCAACGTAAAGCATCACGCCTGCTTCTTCGATGAAGAAACCACGGTAGCGAAAAAGAATGTGAGGAACTTTACAAGGTGCTCCTCAAATGCCCCGGTGACCACCATTCCATTGAATTTTGGTGTATCATCGGAGAAATTACCAAAAAAAAATCATAAACCTATTACACTTGTGCCGATTCAGATACTAATTTTTCAATTTGGCCAATTTAATCCTAAACTTTTTGACGATTTGCCAATATAGTCATTCCAGCTAATTTTGGCCAGAAATCGCTAACGTAAACGCCGGCAATGCCACGTAGGACGGTTGGCACTGACGTGCACAATTTTTAAAATTTTCAATTTTTCTTTTTTTTCATTTCCTTTTTTTTTTTCTATCAAGTCCGGCGAGGGTTGCGAGGCTTAGAAGGAAAAAGGGGAAAGAAAAAAGGGAAGAAAAAGAAGAAGAAAAAAAATTAAAAAGTCTATTTATATCCGCGCTAGCCGTATCACATAAAACAACCGATGTTCACACTAACGATTTCCAATCAAAATTGACTAAAAAAACTAAATCGATAAATTACCAAAAAAGTACGTGACTAAATTAATCGCATTGAAAAGTTTGGATGGTATATAATAGATTTAAGACTTTTTTTTTTTTGGTAATTTTTCCTCTCTCATCAAACATATAAATTACAAAATAACGACTTTGACCACTTCGTAGCAGATCTACGGTGCAGAAAAAGCCGCCGTACTGTCGAAGGCCAAACGTATCCATCATAAATCTGGAAAGGGTCGTTGGGACTAACTTGAGACGACCGCTGAAATTGACATAGATTAGAACACAGACCGCTTGGCGCATGGGACCACTCTGGAAATGACCTTAATGCTGGAGCTTTCGGACGAATACGCGCAGTCACCATGACCTCGCTTCCTACATCGAAAAATTGTCGTGCCGATTCACCTACTCAATAGATCCTTTAGAGATAAGTCCACTGCTCTATCTAACCCCAAAAAATTTACCCATAATGGTTCATGGGTTTACCTTTATTAAGGCTCTGTTTATTTCACGAAAAATAACTTCTAAAAAAACATTTTTCGAACTTTCCAGCGTTCGTTTGACTGAAAATAAATTAGTCATGAAAAATATTTTCCACCAATTGAAAAAACACCTTCAAAAGTAAAGAAAATATTTTCTGCTTTTTAGAAAGTGAAAAACATTTTCCGTATCTTCTTTCACCTCATTTTCTTTCAAATAACATTTTTTATTTTTATTTTTTCTTTTCTTTTTTTTTAAATCGAGTCTTTTTTTTCTTTCTTTCTTTTTTTTTTTACTTCTTCATTGGCCGATCGTTGGCCGCAATAACGGCTGGCGACCGGCCACAGGCGAAGCGAAGCCTCGCCACAGGCCGGCGAGGCTCGAGCTTGGGGCCTCGCCAGATCCAGCGGGGCTCGAGCTCACCGGCCCATGGCGAGGCTCCACCTCACTAGATCCGGCGAGCTGGGCGAGGCTTGAGGTTGCCAGAGCCTCACCGACCTCTAGTGACCTCGGGCGAGGCTCCGCTTCACATGCCAATGAAGACAAAAAAAAAGAAAAGAAAAGAAAAAGAAAAATAATTAAAAATTCGAATTTTTCTATAATTTTTTCTAGAAAATCATATCGGATACATACCGATCAGCAGAAAATATTTTCCAGTTCATTTTTAGGTTTTAGCCGAACATCGGAAAACATTTTCTAGAAACAATCACATTTTGCGAACGAATCGAGCCTAAATCCCACCAATGGTTATCATCAAAGTTGAACCCCAGTAAAAGCCAAAGGACAAAGATCCCTCCAAGGAGATTCTCATAGAAAGTGTATTAGCTTTATCTAACACTAACCCACTATTCAACAACAGAGTTTCCTTTATAAATAACTGGTGCAAGTCACCTAACCGCATTTATTTACAAACTTAGTTTTGGGTCAGCTTAACTGTAATTGAGACTAAATGAGGAGATCCCCCTCTATCTCTGTATGTATCAGACCGCAATTAAGGGCATTTACCTCAATTAATAACAGGTCAAACGAATGTCTGCTCCTCAAGGATCAATCGTCAGTACCAAAGTAACGATCACCGAACTCACCCATACCCGGAATAACACGGAACTCTTCATTCAACGCAACATCAATCTCTGAAGTCACAATTTTCAAGGAGGGGAATCTTTTGGAGACGCAATGGATTCCTTCAGGAGCCTGCAGTTATGGCAGCAGTAGGATAAGCCAAACTTGATTTGCAAGAAACTACAGTGATTAACATTATGAAAAAACCACTCACAGAGATGAGATTAAGGAATATTATGTGGGATTCTGGAACTCCTTTCTGGATGAGTAGCTCGATTGCTTGGTTAGCAGAATTACCTTCCAAAATAGCCATAAGAGAAGTACATCCATCAAAGCCATGCAAAAAATGAATGCGAAGAAAAGCATACTAGCATTGTCTAGTTGCATCAGCTGTGTTGTTATCAATTTCATCAGCTGCAAATGAGCTTGTGGGATGTCGATAAGATTTGAAACCCTTCGAAGGAATTCCAACTCCAGAAAAAGACAAATTAACTGACATTCTTCGAATCATTTAACCTATTCCTCCTGATACACAGTTCTTGGCACATAAAGTTGGCATGGAATTAAGGATCTATAACACAGACCTCCTTGGGCATCAAATAGTTCAAGAATCTTTCAAGGATGACACGATCTGTAGTTACCTGTAGCTAGAACCGGATCTAGCAGCAAAACATGACGTTCAGATATATCCTTGGGAAGCTTCTCATAGATAAGCTGCTCAAAATACATCCAGTGCACGGATCACACTCATAGAAGTGCATTGTCCCCGTTAACAAAAAAACAGCAAGCAACTAAGAGGAAAATACGTCAAATGGAGAGGCACATGCACCTGTTTCCCATTGTCTCCATCTCGGTGGATCAGAATTTTTCCAATTTTTATTCCTTTGCAGCAAGCACGTAATGCATTTTCCATGCTCTCTCCACTACACAGACAGAGAATATCCCAAGTATTAAATCAGCATTAGTTTGACATTTATAACTGCAGCCCAATAATAGGCATGCTAAACGTAACCATTAGTGCAAAATGAATATCCATCTTCACTAGTAACCTTGTTATGGAGTTTGAAATGGCAGAAGAAAGCTGAAACTAGACATATGTGATAGGCAGAGGAAGTAAAAAGTAGTGCGCAAACAGCCCTATCTTTTTCATAAAAAATTCAGTTTAAGTTAAGCCCTATATTGATGAAGAGAACCATTCAATTAGAAACCAGGATCGAAATCTGATAGATGCTAAGTGATTCATGTAATCTATCCTTTTGCTTGCACCAATTCTCTCTAAGAACCAGTACCTTAATCAAGGCTCACCTTCGAACAATAGAAACTCCACATAATTTCTTGCAAAAATCAACTCCAGTATATAATGATCCTGAAACAACATAATCAGAAAAAGTATAAGAAAAACGTCATGAGCAGGAAAAAAAAACTATACTCAAAGATGATGGAGTTTGTATAACTTATCATTTTCCAAGCTTGGAGCCACTTAAAATTAAACACAAGCCAAGGAGCTATAACTATCCAGACAAGTAAATAATAGCGGAACTAGTGTTGTCACCTTTGTGACAGCTTCCTCTAAATTCCAGCTGATTCAAACCAGCACAATGAGAGATCTAAACAGATTAAGAGGCAGATACCTGTTGGAGTAACCACTTGTTTCTCAGTAAATGGCAAATGACCAAGCCCATGCTCTACCACCTGAAAATCAAGTTTAGTAATTGAGTTCTGATAATGCCAATGCAGGGATGGTAAAATCTGTTTGCAATTTGTACTCATGCAGGTACCAGCCGAATAAGTCGATCGGAATAGAAGACAAAATCATGCTTTGATATGTCGCGATCTCGAATCAGTGTGTGCATGCCTCTTATCTGGGAAAAACATATCCAGATCAACAATTACCAAAGACAATGGAGCAATTACAAAGAATACAACCAACTGAAGAGAAGGAAAAATAAAGAGGGAGGCGGGGGGGGGGCGGGGGGAGGGTTGAGGTGTGGATAAGGGGAGATCATATGGCTGTTAGGAGGATGGGTTGGGGTTCATGGTGTTGTCAACGAGGAAAAATACCTGAA